AATAAGTAAATATTAAGATAATTCAATCATTTCTAAACTTAATTAATTTTATTCGAATAATAAAATTATTTTAAATACAAATTCTTAGTCTCATTGCATACATAAATATTAGATATTTCAATTGACAAACTTTACAATTACTTTTGTTTTTTCTATATAGTCAATTTCATATCAAATTATTTGGGAACCTCGATTTTTACTTAGGTAATATATTTTATTATTATATAACCATTTTATTTTTAGCCATTTGGTTATTGCATTTTATGGCATTCTCCTTAAACATTTATGTATATATATATTAAAGTGAGAATTAATACAAAAAAAAAATCCTCCGAAACATGATTGCTAAAAAAAAAAAAAAAATTCATATAAAAATTGTTGCTAATAATAATAAAAAAAAATTCTATTACAACAATAAAATATTTTATATATATATATTTTTTTTTTCTTTCTTAGATCATGTTCATTGGTTGGTGGTTTAATATTATTAATGGTAGAAAGTCGAAAAGAAGCTCGTAGTTTATTTGCTGGTGTACCAACAATACATAATAATACACCAAAAAATTATATGCAATTAGCTGGTCGTATGTTATTAGTTATTATGTTTTTAACTATTGTTCGTTATGAATTATCATTTACATCAATAATACAAAATTTAATTGGTGGTATATCAATGTTATTTGTTGCTATTGGTTTTAAAACAAAATTATCAGCATTATTTCTTGTTGCATATTTAACAGTTGTGAATTTTTATTCAAATTGTTTTTGGCTTGTACCAAATCATCGAGCATTACATGATTTTTTGAAATATGATTTTTTTCAAACAATGTCGGTTATTGGTGGCCTTCTTTATGTTGTTGCACTTGGTCCAGGTGGTGTATCATTAGATGCAAGAAAGAAAGAATGGTAGATTAAAGGGACCAAATTACTACTAATAATAATTATAACAACAAATGTAGAACTATCATTTTTCTTTTTTTTTTTCTTTTCTTTTGTCAATGTGTCACGTATTATAAACACTTTATATTATCCATCTAATTTAAAAAAAAAAAGCAATAAGAGATAAGTAGATATTTATTTAGGATGTTTGTTGTGTACTCATTTTGTGTTGTGCGTATGTATTTGCTATTGTTTTTTTTTTCTTGTTCTTGTCAAATCAAGTTCTTAATTTATGTTATTTAAAAAACAATACAACTTAATAAATATTATCTATATTGGTTTAAAATTGTGTTTGTTTTATAATGTATTTTATTTGAACAATGAAAAGTGATGTGTAAGTTTTGTTTCATTACTGTAGATATTTATTTCAATGGAAAATTCATCAAATTTACATGATTTGGTATGATAATTGATGTAATCTTACTTTTATGCAAGTAGCATATAAAAACTATTGAATATTAAATGATGAAGATCTCTCATAATACAAAAAAATGTTTAAAATATTATTTTTAAATGAGAATAATCTGTACTTTTTCAGTTATTTAGGATTTGGATAATAAACAAGGATCCAATGTTACTCTTCCATCAACATCAGCTGAAGATTATGGAAATGATGTAAAATATTTAAAAAAAAAAATTGATTTTCTTATTAATATTACATAAGTATTCTTGATATTTCATTAGCCAACGCTTGAACAACAATGGGCAATGAAAGCATTTCAACATGCTGAAACATATTTTAATGTAAACAAAAAGAAAAATATTTTTCTTTTTTTTTTCTTTAAATTTTTTATCTTCTTGTTATTTAGTTACTTTGTGCTGTTGATCCAAAACAATTACGTTTATCTCGTCATGATGATCAAATATATTCTCGTTTTCGTGAATTATTTCCTGATTTTAAAATTGATGTACTTGATGAAAATAAAATTAAATCTAACGAAGGAAAACAAGTAATTAAAAAAGAGAAATAAAATTGTTTTTTCTTTTTTTTTTTGTTTTCATTCTTAGTTATGGAGACCATTTTGTGAAGAATTTCGAGATTTAATTGACGAATATAATTATGGTACACTTGTACGTACAGATTCAAAAGGTGAATATACAAATGAAAATACATTTCTAGGTAAGTATTTATTTTTTTTTTTGGTTTGATTGAAAAATCAATTGTTCTATGAAATTTATTTTAGTTGTACGAATTCAATTTTATGCTATTGAAATCGCACGTAATCGTGAAGGATATAATGACTCTATTCGTCATTTATATGGATCAAAAAAATTGTGATAAATGTTTTTTGTTCTTCTAAAATAAAAATAAAAAAAAAAAAGGATCGATGATGATAAAAAGATATTTTATTTTCTATTTGTTTTTTTTTTAGTATAAGAATGACTAAATGGGATAATTTACACGAACGATATTTTAATTATTTAGCTATTTTATCATTTGATAAAGCGAAAGAACTTTTAGTATGTGAACAGAAAAAAAAAAACAAAATTTTTTGTATTTAAAAATTGAACTCCATTTATTAATTGTTTAGGAAAAAGATGGTAATAAAATGAATAGTGATTTTCTTCAATATTTTATTATGTTAGTACAATATGAACGAACTTATCATAATTTTGGTTTTGTTGTTGGTCCAAAAGGAAATTTGAGTATTATTAGGAAAGATGTATGTGTTATAGAAATTTAAAATTAAATTTTTTTTTTGTTTTTAATTTCAAATTTTTATTTTCTTTAATAGAAATCTTTACTTCAATGTTATTCTGATCTTCATATGTCATTAATTGAACTACAGGTAAATTTTTTGAAGTTTTGGTTTTTTTTTTTTTTTTTTTTTTCTCTAAAGCTATGTTGTTTTGTTTTAGTCAAATAGTAAACAAAATAATACGACACAATCGATGACAGATGATACAAAAGAAACAAATTATATTCAACAATTAACTGCTGGTCTTATTACATTTCTTAATGTTCGAACAAATCTAATGAAATTGTAATGTATGATATTTTTATATTTATTAATATAATTATTTTGTTTTTTTCTTTTTATATTTAAAACTATAGATATGAACAAATTTCTAGTGCTGTCAAACGTAATGAACATAATGTTCGTCTAGAAAATTATATTGATGAAATTACACATATCTCTCAAATTGATATGTCTCCATTAAATATTTCTGTACTTAGTCCAATACTTCAACTATTAAAGTAAATAAAAATAAAAATTGAAGAAAATAAATTTATTTAAAAACTATTTTTTTTTTAAGACATGAAACCGATTGTTTATTATTATTAATACAATCATATGTATTTATTGCTGATTATCAATATATGAATGGTATATCAACATTACATAATATGCATTGTGTATTAAAAGAATGGAATGATAATATTGAAAATCAACAAAATACAAATCATCGTTTTATATTATCAAGTACAAGTCCATTAAATTTTTTTAAATCACCAACTAAACCAGCATTATATACATTTTATTCAAAATTTCATGAATTACTTGTTGCAAAAGTAATATTGATTGTTCTTTTTTTTTAAACATTTTCTAATAAAAGAAATGTTTTCATTTTTAAGTTTACATTTTATTTCAATGATATTTTATATGAATATGGTGGTGTAGAAGCTAAAACACCAATGGGAAAAACAAATCCTGAATTTACTGCACGTATTGCACAATTCTATCGACGTTCAAATGTTGAATGGATTACACTTATATTACATAAAACTAAACAGCCCATATATTCTAGTCAAATAGATCAATTAGGTAACCGAAAGAAAAAAAGATTTTTTATCAAATTGAATACATATTTATCTTTATTTTTTTATAGCTGATTATCATTTAATTCAACCAGTAACATCTTTTAATGATAATAAACCGTATCAAATTATATTTGGTTATCCACATAAACCAAATTCAGTTCGTGATGTGTTGAAAAATAATTTATTTAAGAAAAAAAATTATATCATTTTCTTTTATTTTTAGACAGATGAAATCGCACAACAAATGATTACAAAAGCTTTAATTAATCATGAAATGTTAACAAGTGGTGAAAAAATATTCTATAGTGGAGATACCGTATGTAGATTATTTCTATTTTAAAACCAAATGAAAAGAATGATTATAATATATACATGTAATTCTTATCTTCGATTGAGGCAAAAAAAAAACATGTATTATATTTACTATCAGTGTCAAATTTATCTAAAAGCCTTTATAAAAATAGATAATTGAAATAGAATTATCTTTCAGGGTATGACATTGTCTAAAGAGATTAAGATCTAAACGTTCTTCCCACGATAAAATAAATAGCTTGAGCATAATTACTAATAGTTTTTTTTGACAAGTTGAACATATGAGTAAAATTAGTCTCTTCTTTTTAATAGAATTTTTATTATCATGATCTTTTTTTTTTATGTATTGAAAATCTTTTAAGTAGGTTATGATATGAATGTCAAAAAATGAACATCATTGTAAGGGCAACAACTCTTTCGCTCATAGAACAAAAGTAATGTTCTTCATCAGGGTCAGGTTACTTTAACATTTAATAGATTTTAATTATCTATGACAAGTCATTCTTATGTATGATTATTCACCTTGATACAAGTGTGCATATATAACATACATTATTCACTGTGAAAAGCACTGTTTAAAAAAAACCTACTCAATGTCAAAGAAAAACAAATAAACAATAATTTATGACCAAAAATTGTTTTTTTTTTACCCTAGACAACGATTCATATTTGTTTTTTGTTTTTTTGCATTTTAGAATCAAACAAAAACATATTTTCTTCAAAATATTGATCCACGTATAACACTTACACTTGTATTTGCATCACATCGTCAAGAACGTGATACAACAATAATAAATTTTCTAAATGAATTACTTGATTTACTTCGAGGTTCACGTTTATTATTATATTTTAAAAATGCTGCTAAATAAAACTTATATTTATGTGTATACATATTGATTGAATTTTATTTTTTTATTTCATTTATATATTTACAAAACCATATAGGAAAAAAAAACAATAATTAAGAAAAGAAAAAGATGATTAATTAATAAGGAATCAATAAATATGGAAAAAAAAAGTGACTTTCTTTAAGAAGTAATTCTGTTAAATGATTGATTTGCTCACGTATATATAATAATTGATTTAAACGATATGTTGATTTACATGAAACTAATTCATTTTCATATTCATGTAAACTTTTAAAATAAACTTGTTCAAGTGATATTAAATCATTTTGATCGATTGTTGTATTTGTTTTATCTATAAAAAAAAAATAAAGATCATTATTTTTTTATAATGAATAAGAAAAATGTTTTAATTTTTACCATATTGAATAACAATTAATATACTTAATAATGTAAATTCTTTATTCGTTAAATTTAAATTAATTAAATATAATAAAAAATTTAAAAATTGATGAATAATTTCATAGGATATTGATGAAAGTATTTGTTTTTGTTGATATTCAATTAAACGTTGTAAACATTGTTCATATGATATTAAATTTATATGATTATATCGTATTGCTAAAAATTGACATATTGCTAAAAAAATATATTTTGACCAACGATTTTTTAATATAAATTGATTTAAATCAAATTTTAATAATGAATAAAATGATAATGAACGATACCATGATATAAATGAATCAATTAATAAATGTGAAGTTTTTTTTATTAATTCATCTGTTAATTGTATTGAACTATCAGTTAATGGTTTTAAATGATCAAATAATGTATTCAATATAGATAATTGATCAAAATTATATGTAACTTTAATATTTGAATGTATAGCTAATGATTGATTTAATTGATTTTCTATATTTGTTTTAAGTTTAACATCAGAAATAATTATTTGTTCAAGTGAATTATTAAATTCTTGTCGATTTTGACAATTATTTTTTTCTTTATTATACTACGCAAAAATAAAAAATTGAATTTTTTTTTCTTTTCAAAGAAATATTTACTTTATATAATAGAGCAAGATTAGATGATGTTCGTCCACCAGGCATTCGATCATAACGAACAGCTCCAATAACCATACCTTTTTCTAAACATTTTGTAAAACGACAGTGTTGACAATGTTTACGTTGAAATTTATCAATAATACATGAACCATTTCTAATACAACGATAAATTTTTTTATTTTGAACTGTTCGTTTAAAAAATCCTTCAAAAATAACAAATAAGGAAGTTATTTTTCTTTTTGCAAAAAAAAAATAAATAAATCTAAATATATAAATACCTTTACATCCTTCACATGTTGTTACACCATAATGTATTCCGGTTGCTTTATCATGACAAATTTCACATTGTATATATGGTTTTCTTTGACATTGCATTGGTTTTGCTTGATTTTCAATTGATGATAGATCTTGTGCAATCTAAAAAGAGACAATAATAGAAAAAAAAACACAAACTTAATTCTAGATTATTAATATTTTAATCAACCTGCAAATCAATCGGATTAAGCGATTGTAAAAGTTCTTTTTCTTTCTGTTGAAGATCATCAATATCTGGTGTTAATAAACATGAAGGAGATTTTGTATCAGTTAATTGTAAGTTTTGTTTCATATAATATTTTTCAAAATCTACTTCAACACTAACTTCAGTTAATAAAGATAGAGATGTTGATTCATCAGAACTATCCACATTCATTTGATCATCATTTTCATTCATAGTTTGTATTGTACGATAATTTTTAAGTTTAAATTTTTTAAATAAATCATCGGTATGATTTGGGGATGGTAGTGAAAATATTGATGGTGATGATTGTAATGAAGACATTTATTTTTTTTAATTAAGTCAAATATTTAGTACTTTTGATTTGTTTATTTTTTAAATGTATAGTCTTTTGTTTTATATAACGGTATTAAATTTAATAGAATGATTAAATAAATAAAATGATAAGATCACACCAGTACTACAAGAGTTTTTGAAAATTAAACGTATTTCATATCAAGGTTAAATAGTCACGAACAAGTAAGACAGATATTGTCAATAATAACGAGGATCGCACTTTTCAAATATTGAGTATGCACTTTTTTGTCTGTTCTGTATCTTGAAAGGACGATAAATATATACGGTTGTATGCTCATCATACTTTTTGTTTTGAGAGATAGAATGTTATTGTGACTATGAGGTCGCAAAAACCTTGTTCAGAACACGTCATGTAAAAGAAAGGAAAAAGTTAATTAAAAGCCTCTGTTTATGAAAAATTATTAGATGTAAATAAATGTAAAACATAAAAACTATGAAAGTAAGCAATTGCATAATGAATAATATAATTTATTTTACAAACTAACATAAGACAAAAAATAAACAAAGATAACAAAAAAAAACAATCAATAAAATATTTTTTGTATAGAGTCAAAATGTATATTTATATAATTGCTCACACGTATGCATCGTCATCAAGATAATTGTCCGTAGCAAAAGTTTTTTTATTTTTACATAAAATAATGTGTAAAATCGTTCTTTTGGAAATTTTTAATAAACAATAAAATAAAAATCTATTCTATATTTAATACAATCAAATGTTTTCTATAGTATAATATTTGTAGCGTAACTAGGGTTTTAACGGTGAAGCGTCTAACAAGACGAAGCTTTCTGAAAGCCAAAGTCTTTCTAATGATGGTAGTAGATTTTAGCTGGCATGACTTTGATCGGTGGTTGTGAGGCTTAGCCCTCTTAGTACCTCTTGATTAGATTGCTACGTGATAGACTAAGAGTCAGATTTCAAAAATACTATACATATCGTTTTCCAGGTACTTTGGAATACAGGCCATGATACCCTACTCCATTCTTACTAGGTACTATCTTTTTTTTTACAAAGAAAATTGCCTACCTGTGTATTCTTTTACAAATCATTTAAGAATGTCATACTACCCCTTTCAGTGACCGTTTCTATGAAGCCTGATGAGTGAAACACAAAGCTATCAAGGTTTTTTTATTTTTTATCTTTCTTCTGTGATCATGATGATGATGATGATGATTTATATTCTTAATAAATAAATTTTTTTTTAGTAGGAAACTCAATTAGATAATTAATCGAGATTTGTACAAGATTTATTTATCTAGTATTATTATATTAAAAACCATATATGAGTGTAAAATGTGTTAACATTGATCAATGTAGCAAATAATCCGAAGATTAAAGCAAACAAAAAAACTGAAGCTCAATGAGATTACTCTATAACTATCTGCTTAAGTTAGTGAATAATAGTTTTAACACATTTTGTTTTATTACAATGACACGTAACATATCACTCACGTCTTTTATTAACTATCAAAATATAAATTTTTTTTGTTGTTCTTAAAATATCATTACTGAATGACTGAGAGACTACTTTGTAATTTTCTTAAAAGTGTATTTTGCTTTGTTTTTTTTCTCTAACTCGAAATAAATTGTAATCAAAATAAATGAATAAATTGTCGATTTAAAAGTCTATCGATAATATTCTTAGAAAATAATAGTAATATTTTGCGACGTCAGAATTTTATCGATTTTAAAATCATAATTTTGATCCTGTATCAAACAATTATTACAATCGTAGTACAACATGTTTTTATAGAGAATTATACGAACTTTTCGATGCTTCTTCGAAAATCATCTTTACTATAGTTCGAAATTTGAATATTTGCTATCATTTCGACAATTTGCAAGTTAAAATTAGTTAGATGATTTTCTTTTATAATGTTCGTGAGGGGTTCATCAATGCCTACAACCAAATTTCTTATCTCTATATTTCATGTACTTTTTTTTTAATACTGCAAACATGTTCTTTTGTAAGAATCAAAGTAATGAGTTCGTAGCCAATATTTTATCTAGACTTGTCCTTCCGGATGAGCGGTTTATCACAGCAGGAAGGTGGACACCTATTTTTGAAGGTATAAACACATAGTACGTGCTACAATAACCACAAATTTCATGAAGGTCAACCCGGTTCTTGTAGAGACACCACCTTCTCAGCCTTCACGCTGAGTAAAACATTTTACGTAACTTAAAGTTGATATGTCGAACTAACATATTTTGCAAAAAACAAGTTTGTAGAAGAGATTATATAATGTTTCTTTTTTTAAGTAAAAAAAATTGACTCTCAATAATACTCTTACATTGATACGAAGAAGACAAAAAAAACTGATGCAAAACTTTTGGTACTTCCATTATAGAAATCCTTTTGGTTAGATTATTGTTTTTTTAATTTCGATTTAAATATTCAAATATAATTTATTTATGAGACGAATTCGGAATTTCGATATTTCTATCATGAATATGGCACTGATTTTTAGCTTTAGTACATGAAACCGATTATTTCTTTTTAATATAAAAGAAATGATAAAAATTTTTAAAATCAAAGTAATCATGCTCCTTTGACTATGATGCATATATTTGATTTACATATTAACCATATAGTTTGTTATTTTTATGAAAGTAATAATACACAATTTGACAAAAAACATATCATACGGATGGTATGATCTTTTATTAATATAAGATTATTTTAAAAAAATCATTAAAAATAGTTTGAAGAGTTCGACAATCCAAAATTTGTTCTTCTTTTCATTATCTCATTAGAGAAATATGCTAATGGCAGTGACACTTTAGTGCCTTGTAGAAAGCTTTAGGAAACTTTTTCTCTCTTTGTGTTGACATTACACAAAATGCTCTGTATTTTTGCAATAGTTTATTATTCTTCAATTAATTTTATAATAGTAAAATTCCGACAAGAGCCGTTTTCTATAATACGTGACTATAATATTTATGCTTTTGATCGAAAAACATTTCGATAAAAGTATTTGCTTGATAGAGAAATACACTCAAATGTGTAAATATTGGCAGTAAAAGCTGACTTTTTCATTCTTAACCATTCTATAAAAAAGTCAAAGAATCAGCAACACTTTAGAGTGCTCTACAAATCTTTCAAAGAAAGATATGCAATTCTGTTACGATGACAGCAATGACCATTTTAAAGAAAGAACACAACGCATTAGTATCTCTTCAATAACTTTTGATGAAAACAAGATAGAGAGACTTCGGCTTTCACTTTTAGAAAGAGACAATAAAGACAAATTGAATCGTATACAACAGTTTTTCTTATCTGATTTCGTAAAGTTTTCAATCGGTCTTTTCAAAAATCCATGTTTTCTATGAGCTACTAAGGGTGAATTTTCAATTCTCAGTTATGTATTTAAATAGGCAAGCCAATTTCAAAATTGCACAAGGCTTAAATATTAAGATTTAATCATTCAGGCGTTATAGTAAAAAAATTTTGTTCCATCATTTTCTTAGAAAACTGGTTAGAAAAACATGTAATATATGATTTGATCAGTATTTATCTCATCTTTCTACAGATGAAAATCACAGTTTTTTATCATGTTTTTATCAAAACTTTTTCACAAAGTATTCATTCACATTTCTTTCTTAGTATTATTGTCACATATCATAACAAACAGTTCTTATCAAAATTTTATCATTATGATATCACTTAAGAATAATGAAATATTTTAGAAATACAAAACATTATTTTTCTCATGAGTATGCATATAAAAAACATTGTCTCAAATTTTCTAGAAAGTATTAAAATTGTTACCGGCACTAATTATGTATTGCCGTAAGAATGTCAATCATTTAGAGACTAAAATTGAAAACATTGTTGAAAAAAAAGACTGTTGAATCTGTTCTCAAATATTTATACTTTGTAAATATCAAACAAGACTTTTGACAGAGTAAATATCGTATCTCAGAAAAAAAAAGAAGTTTAAATCAATATTCTCTCTATATGACAAGAGCTAAGAAGATAGTCAAATAATCAGAATACTTAGATTTTGTGCTCGTCTATGCTATCCATTTTTTTGTTGATCTATTATAGTAAACTATGAATTGATCAAAAGAGAAGAACTGATAGATAAGATGAAAGAACAAAACATTAATATTCTTTCTCAACAACATTCTAAAATATTTTCCCAACATTTTTGTATGATCAACATTATTTCTACCGGTCAAATGGATGCCAGTCTCCATACAATTTAAGATTCTACCTGCGTATTACTTAAAATATTTTAAAAGCCAAATCTTAATACAGCATCTTGATTATTTAACCCCACGGCATCTTAATGTAAAACGAATACAGTTGTTTGCAACAAAAAAGAACTTGCAGAGCTTGCTTTAGAGTATTATTCAAAAATATATTGATTCACTGTTGTGAGCAGTAATAGAAAAAATTCTAACGTTTGTAGAGGAAACGTATAATTTTACTACAATATTATTATCAACATTTTAAAACTCTTTCATTTAAAACTAATTAAACATTTTTCTTTTGATTTTCTAATTTTAATTTCATGTTTTTGAAATGTATCCAATATATCTTATTAGATTTAAATTCAGATTATTAGAACTGATCGATGTCTTGTTTGATTGGTGTTGTCATTGATAAATTATTTAAGAATACTATTAGTGTATGTGAAGCTATAAACTTATTTTAAACGCTTGTTTTTATGAAATTTTCTTGAAGGAAAAGAAAAAGAAGTTTAAGGATATTATGTCTCTTCGAATTAGACATATGATTTCATTTGTTTTTTAAAGTTTTATCTTATTATGACGATGAATATATTAATTCATAAATCTTTTTTTATTTAATACTGAATACATTCGTCGATCTTTTCTACTTCGATGCACAGAATTGGTTATTAACTATTTGTGTAAAGTCATATCTTTGTACAACAATTTGAAATCTATCACCTATTTCATATAACAATAGATTAAAAAAACTACTGGTTTGTTTAAG